GCCACTTCTGTGCTCACTGAAGGACTGGAATGGTTCGTAGACCTAGACCTGGCCTATGAGGCAGGAATTCGCCCTTTGTGCATGTGGGGGGAGAGGAGGAGAAATATGAAATACTGTTTAAACACTTTCTGCCTCCCCATTTTGAATAGCAAAACAGACAGTTTTTTTTTGTTTCAGAACATGTATGAATAAAGCAGTGTCCTCTGGCATTGAAATGCTTCATGCCGAAAGTAGTCATGGAGCCAACATTTAGGGCCCTAGTACACACTGCAGCTCAAATCCTGCATGTTGTTTTATTATATTCTATACTTAATGTTCAAAATATAAGGATGCATGCTTGACAGAGCAGGTTGGGCCCCAGTTTCTCGAATGGGTCTGTGTGTGCGCAGGTACCACTTAGTGGTAATTCTGCCATTTACATCTGCCCCGTGTTGCCTGCCTCTGTTCCCTGATCCATCTCCTCTCAAACTACTTGTGATGCTGCAAACCTGAAGGCTTCAAGAAGGTTCCCTTGAATTGGACAGATGGAGGAATGTGTCCCTCCAAATCTGGAGGATTGCTCCCCAAGTGTCATTAGTCTCAAATTTCCAAGTTTCAAATGGGTTGTCAAACAGACAGTGTCCCCAACCAGAACCCTGCCAAATTCAATAGGACTGGAATGGTGCTTGCACTGATTCATAGATTGTAGAGTCGGAAGGGACCACATGGATCATCGTGTCCGACCCCCTGCCCCTGGCAGGAAAGACGATCGAGGTCAGATGACCCCAGCCAGGTGACTATCTAGCCTCCTCTTGAAGACCTCCAAGCTAGGGGATATCACCACCTCTCTTGGAAGCCCATTCCAGATCCTGGCCACCCTTACTGTGAAAAATGTCTTCCTAATATCTAACCTAAATCCACTCTCAACTAGTTTACACCCGTTATTCCTAGTCACTCCCTGAGGTGCCCTACTAAACAGTGCTTCCCCTATTCCCCATTGACCCCCCCTAATAAATTTATAGGTGGCCACAAGATCTCCCCTCAGCCGTCTCTTGTGAAGGCTGAAGAGATTCAGCTCTCTCAACCTCCCTCCATAGGGTCTATCACGAAGGCCACTAATCATGCGAGTGGCCCTCCTCTGGACCCTCTCCAGATTCTCCGCGTCCCTCTTGAAGTGCAGTGCCCAGAACTGGACACAGTACTCCAACTGCGGCCTGCCCAGTGCTGCACAGAGGGGGAGCATCACCTCCTTTGATCTATTAGTCATGCACCTGCTAATGCACGACAAGGTGCGACTGGCCTTGTTGATGGCCTCGTTACACTGCCGGCTCATGTTCATCTTGGAGTCAGTTATGACTCCAAGATCCGTCTCTGCCTCCAAGCTGCTGAGAAGGACACTCCCTAACCTATAGCTGTGCTGGGGATTCCTCCTTCCCAGGTGGAGTACCTTACATTTATCTTTATTAAACTGCATCCTATTTCTCTCTGCCCATTGATCCAACCTGTCCAGGTCAGCCTGAATCTGCTTCCTGTCCTCCGGTGTACTAATTTTGCCCCATAACTTGGTATCATCAGCGAACTTGGAGAGGGTGCTCTCCACGCCCTCGTCCAAATTGCTGATGAAGATGTTTCTTCATCAACAAGGTATTTTCATCTTCAGTACAAGACTTCGGGCTTCTTGTACTGAAGGGTGAGTCTTGCCCCACAAAGAGGGGAGCGTTTTGTTTTTTAACTACCTAGAAGTCCAGCTAAAGGCTCCGTCTCAAAGTACCTAGCGCAGAATTCACATTTGCATGTGCTAACCGTCGCAACACGTGGATGCTTTCGATAATTCAAAGCTTAGACTAAGCAAACCACATTTTCAGAAGCTGCCTGTTAATTGGCATGTGCAGTTTTTAGACCCAATAAACTTTCATCTTTGCTTGGGCAGTTGGCTGGACAGAGTGTAGGCTCACTTTAACTCAGTTAATGCCTTGCCCCCCCCTTACCCACCCATGGATTTGGGTGGTACAAATAATTGGATTTTGAAAACCTCAGTTGTGAGGCCTGCATCATCTTGACTGCTCAAATGTAATGGTTCAGATGAAGATCCTTTTGAAAATCTGGTCTGAGCTGGCTTTTGTCATATATTGGCCATTAAACAACTTCCTTCAAATGCTAACCTTGAGAAAAGTATCGTTCTCCTTTCTGGATGCCACTTTGTGCATTGGTACAAAACAGCAAAGTAAAAGCAGCTGGACTAGGATTTTAAATGATTTTTTCCCCATCCTTAAATCCTTGAGGCTTTGTTTTGTTATATTTTGAAAACTGGAATTGGCTCCAATTTCCATATTTGCTTTATGTCAGGTTTTACCAAACTATAACTAGTTCAGCATGCTATAGGAATTCTTCTCGCTTGTCTGCTTACCTTTCGTGCCCTTAAAAAAAAAAAAAAGGAAGAACCACTGGATAACATTATTCTGACAAGATTAAAACATCATAGAAAACCCACAACTTGTGTATTTATCATAAAGTATAGATCTCTCTAAAGTACATGAATTTGAGAACAAGGTGCATCTAAAGCTACTGGTACTTTGACACGCATCTCCTTTGAATTTCCAGAGAAAAATCAATGTGTAGCACTCGTAGGTGATTCTTCCAAATAGATCTGAACAGCTTTGGTTAGAAAAGGGGCTGAAGTAAAGTACAGAGAATGGGATTTTTGAAGGTGGGAAAGCTTTTGGTCCAGTCCACAAGTCTGTAAACTTAAAGAGGCAATTTAGTCACTTATATTAACAATCAGTGCCAATCGCATATCTTTTTAGATGAACTTGAGCGGCAGGGAGATTAAAAAAAAAATGTCAGTAGAGGACATTTTAAGCCCCTTTAGAATTATTATGTATGTAAGGATTGGCCCTTGTTTCTGGTAAACTGCTCTAGGAATGATTTAATTCATCTGATAACCAGTGATAGAGGCACAGCACTTAGACCAGCACTTCATCATCTGTTTTAACACATTTTCCTAACACAGTTGTTCCTATTTCAAACTTTTCATGCTACATCTCTGCAGCTGCTGCAAACTAATATTTGGAACAGCCAGCTGGATGGAGACTTTTTTAAATGCAATCCATGAGATCCTCGTGCTCAGTTTTCATCTCCCCCACCCCCTGCCTTAACTGCATCAACAGAAGACTTTGAGCAGAACTAAATCTTTACCCTAATGTTTCATTTAGAAAACATGGAACAACTTGAGTACATCTTGTTGTGTAATACACTGGTCCAAATTATGTTTGCTTTAGTAGTAACTCCAGATTTACATCACTGTAATGTGAGAGCAGTTTTCAGCCCTGTGTGTTTATAGAGAGATGCTGGCAGATGAACCATATGTTATACACATGTAGCCATGATGTGCAAATCTGAGAAAGAAAAGAGTGCTGGCTCTAAGGTATAACATTGTGATTCTTACCCTTAATTTACAAGATGACACAAAGCTACATCCTATTCGGGGTTGAGAACATACCCAAGATCAAAATCACATGTTTGAAGACACAAATGACATTTTCCAACTTTGTTTTTATCAGTATGTGGCTCAAAGTGTTTGCATCAAGGTTTAGTTGTTGGGTTTCTTACATGATACAGTGACATCTGCTCACCAGCACTGGAGAAGGGCTGAGCCATACCAGACATCCGTCGCTAGCAGATAGCAGCTAGCTCTGCTGAAGAGTTAGATGAGGCCTCACCACTGTCGTAGCTATTCTCCAAAGCACAGTTGGCTAAAATCGAAGGCCCTGGTTTAGCAAAGCAGTTCAGACCATGCTTAATTCCATTATTATCCAATAAAGAGCATGTTGAAACTTAGGCAGATATTTAAGGTGCATTGATGTTTGCTGGGTTTGAGCTATTGAACTATTCCTATTGAGAAGTAGCTGACCAAGAGCCAAAGGCTTTGCATGGGTTGTTAGGAAGGGTAGCACTAGTCTTGTGGCTGGGACAACCACTGTCCTCCCAACACTTATGTTTTCTCCTTCCCTGAGCATCTTGCTTTACAACCGTGGGCTAGTCCAATACATTTCATGCAGGGGTGGGCAAAATGCAGCCTGCGGGCCGGATGCAGCCCACCAGGCTATTCTATCTAGCCCATGGGGCCCCTAAAAAAATTTAGAAAATTAATAATTATCTGCCCCTGGCTGCCTGTCATGCAGGCCTTGATGGCTTGACAAAACTTAGTAAGCGGCCCTCCACCCAAAATAATTGCCCGCCCCTGATTTAGTGGTTTGTAATGGCTAGATACAGGACAGAGATTGCCTCCATTCATTGCCTCCCAGGAATCGATAGTAAGTAAATCTGCATGTCCCAGGGTACTTAGCATATTTCCTCTGGGAATCCTAAAACGGGTGGATTTAATGGATAATTAGAATTGCTAAGGCCCAGGTTCTGTAGGTATTTGTGTAGATACCTAAATTTATAGGACCACTGTGGTGAGAGGAGCTGAACGTGTGCATAGACCTCTGCAGAATAGGGGCCCGAGATGACATTTTTTTATCCTGCTTCTAACTACAGGATTGTTGGCACGCTTTGTGGGATTTGGTCTCCTGCATTTGGGACGGTGCATGCCCAATATGGCTTGGGTACAAAGGCTTCAATGAAGCTTAAAAAATTCCAGAGTCACTCGTGAGGTCTGTCCTGCGTCCTGCCGTACCTCCCCTAGCCAAGCACGTTCTGCTCACGGCCTCTGAGAGCCGGAAATTCCCAGAGAGATCTGTGCACTGTGCCAAAAAGGTAGCAACATATTCTTCCCGCTAAGCCTTTTGTTTCCTTTTATGTTCCTTTCCACTTTCCCTGTCGCTTGACATCACTGGTTGTCCTCTCTTACCATACTCTTCTTGGTCTGAGAGAGAAATGTAACCAATATATCCTCTGTCTTAATTAGAGTCTTTCTTAGAACACAACTAAATTTGTGTTTGTGACTTAGTCCTGTTTTTCTAATATAGTATCCTTGCTTTTCTCTCTCTCTCTCTCTCTCTCTCTCCCTCTTGTTTTAGGGGCCTCTTGGTCTGGATGGCAAGCCTGTAAGTAGACCTCTAAGTGTCAAGTGTACCATGGGTTTATTTCTACTTGCTTTATGAGAGAGGAGCACAATTCCAACACAGTTATGATGATTTGTGATACAACTATGCATGAGACAAGGTTGCTGAGTGATTTCTAGCACACACTGACTTACCCATGGGAAAGAAGTCATTGGAACGGTCCTGTGGGTGGGCAGCAGCACTGCAGCACCGGTGTGGGACCCTGCTGTCTCTAGCAGAACTAATCATAGTATGTAACGATAAGTCTATTGATAAGATGTTGGCAATGTTGGGGCCTTTATGGGTGTTTTTACTCTGAAAGGTGATTGTAGCATTGGCATTTGGGAGTTGCATGGCTTTGGGGTCCTCTGCATCCAGTGTTGCTCATTTGCAAGTGAAGAGAAGTGCTTTTCTAACTGCCCCATGAACTTAAGCTGGGTCCTTTCCTCCCTCCACACCAGCTCTGTAAAGATGTGCCGAGTTCTGCCCTTGGGAGCATGTGAAGAGCCTTGTTGCAGTCCCTGACTTAGCACAGGTGCAAGGGATTGTCCTTAAAATGGAACTGAGGAAGCAACTCTGCTGATGCAGGAGCAGAAGCGAGGGCTGCCTCTTAGCTGGGTATCGGCAAGGCAAAGAGTAAGGAAACACCGCAGTCACAAGTGAGCAGATCTGCCTAAAATCCTGGTCTCTAGATGGGACCTCATCCTAGAGGATATTTACTCCAGAACTGCTCTTTGTGTATCTACTTATTTTGCAATTTGCTTTTATATCACATTTCCCTCTATATTCACCAGAGGGCACCATGTGGACCCTTCTCAAACGATAGTCTCGGAGCAACTGTTTCCTACTGAGAGAGCGAGCAGAGGCTTCTCCAGTAATTTTGACTGAAAAGCTACTCTAGCCATTTGCTGCTTGCCAGTTCAGGAATGGTTCATTAGAGCTGCAGATACACTGCATCTTTATTGCTACGCTGAAAAGAAGCTGCCTGAGTTTGTAGAAGGAGAAAAATGATCAACCATCTAGTCAAGGTGTCTCTACCCAGCATTCAAACTGAATGTGAACTGAACGTTTTTTAGTCATTTGAAAAAGTTGGTGTTTCCTACATGTATATTTTATATTCACAGAGAGAGAGAGTCAATCAGTTAGTCAGTCTTTTTTTGGCCCTCCCAAATGGAGAAATATTAAAGAAAGAAATTTCATGAGAGAACCAGTTCTCCTATGTTTTCCATCCCTATTTTAAAAATTTGAGGAATGGGATCTTCTGAAGAGTTACAGGCTAGATGTTTAAAGCTCACTTCTCCCTGACATCCATATACACAGGAGACTTTGTGCACAAAGTGAATATAGACTGATTTTAAAAAATAAGGCAGGGAAAAAGCAAAGCCCAGCCCTTCAAATGGCCAGATTCAAACCAGGATGAAAGACCTCTGCTCATGAAAAGCAAGGGCCAAGAGTGTCACCCACAGCCAGTCTTGAAGCAAGGGTCCGTCCTGACCTTCTGCCTCCGACCCGTGCTGGATTGCATGGGCTGTTGCTTCAGCAAATGGCATTTCATGCAATCCACCATTACTTGTGCTGAGTACAAAATACAATATTGTTGCTGCATTTTGGGCCTGGTCTGACAAGCGCATCAAAGCACGTTCCATGGCTGCTCTGTGAGGCTGTACTGTATCTCCTCTTTCCTGTCTCCTTGGAAGAAACAAGACATCAGCAAATCGGCCAAGGAAAGCACCCCGTCCTTATTTATTTCAAACAGATGTGTTATTGGGCACAGCACGCTTGTAATGATATGCCGTGCATGCGTTTCTAGAAGTGATTTAATAGTTCAAGAAATGCCTTGTATCTAGTTAATGTCATGTGTCCTTTGGATGTTGGCTGATGGTACTTTTTTTTTGCTCTTCGACTTTTGGGGTCCTTTATGTCAAGAGGAAACGTATGATTTCACTGATGTGAAAAGACCTGTCCCTTTTGTGTAAAATAGCTTGTACCTTAACTTCAAGAGGAGAAATGTAGAGGAGATTGTGGGTTGGGAGGATTAATTCATTTAATCCTGGTTGTTAAGCAGGAATGTTGTAACAGGAATATGTCTGCCGATGCCTGTGCTAGTTACTTATTTTGATTTTTATGTTTACAGGGATCTCCAGGACCAAAAGGGGAAAAGGTACAAACTTAAGCTCTGTAAAACCTCTCTCCCAAAACCCTGCTGAGTGGGTTGGCGGATAAGCGTGTCATCTCCATCACACTGGCATTACCCTAATATACTGGAGGCCTGTTGTATCATTTTTTCATGATGGAGGGAGAAGCCGTAAAGCTACATTCTCCCCTTACTTTGGAAACCCTTTGCAAGGGAAAAGGTACAGCAAGAAATACTGTGAAATATCAGGGTAGAAACAGTGCTGGGTTCTCTCCTCCGAGGGAAAGGATTAGCAGATGTGCAGGAGCGGTTCCAAACAGTAGGGTTCAGACGCACCCCTTGGCTTGCGGTTTGAGATGTCCGCATACCAGCTGCTTCTCCCCATTCCTTCAGCAGCTCAGTAGTTTTGTGGCTGTTTTCTCCTATAAGCACTGAGCTGGGACAGCCATAGGAAGGCGGTTATTTCTGGAGCGAACAATGCTTTGCCTTCGACGCTTGCTATTTGAACTCTGATTCCTATTCTTCCCTGTTTTGTGTAGGGTGAACCGGGAGACTTTGGCCCGAGAGTAAGTACTGAGAGAGCTCGCTCTTTATCTAACTGGAAGGGATAAAGGGAGGCGGAGGTACGTGTAATGTGCCATTGCAAATTGTGATGCAACAATGGTTTGGGAAAGGTTTTATATCGCCCTTCAGGTTCTAATGAACTGGAGAATTTAAAATAGCACCTGAGAACAGATTCCTGTAGAAAATACATAGGATCTGCTTTAGGCGTTTCACAGTGATGGGAAAATGGGACCCAACATATCGTGAGGAACAAAGTGGTGTGGTGGAGACACCAGAATATTTATGGCTTTTGCACTGTATCTGCGAGTGATGGTTTCATTAGCCCGTAGTTTATGGACATTGGCTGGGGGGGCGTTCCCTGGGAAAAGGCAAG